GTCGCGACCCTGACTCCGTGCTTCGTGTCTCTGAATAAATAATTTTTGTAAGGTGTCAAAATTTTCCATGTCTTTTTCCCGTTGTACAAGTTGTCATTAGAAAATACCAACACAAACTAAATTTAGTTTGGAGTATGGCCAATTATAGAAGATTGGATGTAATGCCAAGTGTTGTTGCAGTTGAATCGAAAGAGGGGGGTTTCTTTTTTTTTTCCTCTCCATTTTCTTAAGGTTTTCTATCACTTATTTTCGTTCTGGTTTATTCAGTAACGATGTAAAACTTCACTTATCTATTCTTATTTATTACCCAAAACGTTTATGTCCTCTATTTTTTTTTTCTTTGTTAAGAGCTACGATTTTATCTGACGAAACTCCATTGTAAAAATGGGAGTAGAGACTTCATTTACATCAAATCAAAACGGACTAAAATGCAAATCAACCGTTTCGATTTTATTTTAGCCTGATAGACAATCCCAAATTCAATCTATATTTTGCATTCAATTCGTCTAATGTAACGTATTTCGGGATTCAATTTCGCTAGATATAGCATACAATTCAAAAAAATTCACTTTCTCTGGAATGTGAAGAGAGTACATTTGACATAACCGTTCTTTTTTTTTTATATTATTATTTTTAGATGCATTGTGTCCATTTATGTTTCTAGTTTCATCTCGGTATACTTTGACATTAGTTTCATTTGTTGAGACATACATTTTCAATTCAATTTTGTCATCTTTCCTAACATTTTAAGCTTCTTAAAATAAAAAATAAAAAAAATCTCGAATCCTAGCTGTAATTCAATTTACTGTTCAATATCTGGAGACGAGTCAATAGTAATTTATTGTTTCGTCTCTTAATTTTACAACTAAATTCAACTTAATTTAGTCGAATCTTAGATGAAAGGCAGCTTTTAATTTTAACTGAATTTACTTCTTTTCTCTTCATATCTCGTTTCTTTCACTACTTTTTATCATCAATTCGCATTCGACTTCACTATCTTTTAACAGATTTTAATCTCTCTCACTCGTCTTTAATAATTCTCTATATTTTCGGTAGATTTGAAGCGATTTTTTTATCTTAATTTTCGACATCGTATCTCACTTCATTAACTTGACTTTGATATTTATATTTTCATTACCTTCTTTCCTCCATCATTTGTACGTTTTAGCACGTTAACTATTTATCTTCGTCACTTCTAGGCGACTCGAAACCGTTAGAAAATTCATTTCTTCGACTTTAAATCAGTTTAAAAGTTTTCTATTCCATTTAAAAAACAGTAAAATAAGACAAAAATCATTATCTGAAAACCCAACATAATTACTAAAGCTTTTATCATTTTCAGCAATTCCGTTTATCGATCAACTAACAGTCTCCAGTTTACCGATGGCATTCATTTCTACTTTACTATATAAAATCCATTTAAAGTTCGTTAAAACCTAAGGAAAAAAATAAAAAAGAATTCACAAAGTAAATTACAACTTAAATTAAAGAAATACGGTTCCATTATCACTCCCATTTTAAGCCACGAAGAAGAGGAAGAGGAATCTTCGAACGATGAAGTTGTATAAATTCAATAAAATTTTCACGATTATCTAATGTTAAATCGTAGTAATTTTATTGAAAATCGTGTCGTGAATATTTACATCCATACTTCAAACAGTCCAATGTTTACCATCCATTGTATCGAAGCCTTATTAAACAAGCGAAAAGGAGAAGCGCATCACTTTGATAATTTTACTTCCAGATCGAAAAGGGTCTCGGAATACAAAGTGTTAAGGGAGAATGGTACAGTGGAAATCAATTGAATAGGAATTTTACGACTAAGTGTTAAGTGTAGTGTTCCTGGACATTTGCTGGTTCTCAGGGGTAAAGTTTGTATCGCATACAAGTATCGTTATGCGCCTGGTTATGTCTGCTACTACGTCGTTTCGGATAACATGGCTGAACTTACGTGTCGTGAAGCAGATTGTCTCTTCCACTATTATGACTGTTGCGTGATTGTCCAAGCTAACAATTTGTTACATTTTTATATCCGTGTTTACTGATTACAAAAAGCGTTTACGTTTTACTTTTATTTACACAAATTATTCCCTTCCTTTCGGCTCACATAAAAATCAATTTATTTCCTTAAAAAAATAAGGACAATTTACTAAACTTTTTTGTTGTTGTTTCCGCAGAGATTAAACTAAGCAAATTGACCAGAGAAGGAAGGAAAAATACCAGATTAAAATCTGATTTTTGCATTCTTTTCTCAAAGATAATCTCAGAAATTTTAACAAGTTTATTACTTCTATCATCCTCCTCCTGATAGGATGACAGTTTAAAAAATTATTCAGCTTTTTTAACTGTCTCTTCAACGTAAGATGATGTATTAGCTCCCCTCTCTAGTATGAAAAAATACGTCCCGTCAGTTTATATTTCTTCCTTACTAACTACAAAAAGTACGTCCTGTTTGTCTATAATTTTCGTTCTTTCTCACATAAGTCTTGTTAATTTACGCCCTTAACAAATTCCATAAAGTTCTATATATCTAAACCCCTTCTTTCCATCTCTATCCAACATTGAATTAATTTATTTGTATAATTAAAAAAACTTAATTTCGAACATTTAAAATTATTTACTTAAAAAGTATAATAATTATACTATTTAATACTTTATTTTTAGCTTTAAAAGTACGTCCTGTTTGTCTATATTTATCCTTTAAAATAAACAAGATGCAAGAATTTAAACAAAGTCTTAAAAAAAAAAAGAGTGAAGTGTTTTGTATATTTAATTGATAAGTTGATGTCTTAGTAATGTTAAAGTGCAGTAAAATAAATTTTTTTGATTAGATTTATCTCCCATCTTATGTTTTTAGACAGTCTGGCCGGAGAGGTTTCCTTCTTAAGCTTCTTTATATCACCTTGGAGACTTCACCTGCCTCAGGAATACAGTTTTTATGCGTTAGCGTTAATAGCTATCATTAGAGGCAAGTCAAAGACATTTATCCTTGATACTTTGATCTGTAAAAATTTTTTTCTTTACTCCAAAATCGATAAAATTACCGAAATTCTACATTATAATATCTAAATAAACATGTATACACACCGCATCTAACGTATCGTAAATAAGTAATAAAAGAAATTTACAAATGGACTATAAGTTAATTTACCGTGACGCTTTAAACCTTAAAAAGAAGTGGAGGAAGTTCTATCTGCATGTAGTAATTTATATTTTAAATCAATTTTATGCACAATATAATTTATTTTACTCTTATAAAAACTGGAAAAATTCTTAAATTACTGTTTGAGGTCTCCTCTTTTATTGTTTGTAGCAAATTTTATGGCTTATTTTTGTATTAAAATTTTTCTGTATATAAATTTCGGTGTTAATTTTTAAGAAATTTCTATTATTGCTTCCATCTTTCTGACGTAGTTCGGGAATTTCGATGATTCATTTCGATCGATTTTCTTAAGAAAGATAAGGATTTAAATATACACAAAAGCACGAATATATAGCCTATATAAAATTTATAGAGTATACTTTTTAAGGCAATCGATACAGTAGTTTTATTATTAAATTCTTATATGCAGAAGTATAGCTCAAGTAGTGTAAGAGAAGATGCTTTCATGCGTGTAGAAAGCGCAAACATCAGTTTCATACAATTTTTTTTTTTCTTCTTCTTCTTCTTCTTCCTGGATTTTTTCCTTTCCTTAATCAAGAAGTCGAACAATGTTAATTGAATTATATAGCATTGGTCTAGGTTTCTAGATAAGTGGGTAGGTAAATAATTAGTAAAGCAATGTTAATGTATTCAGGACACATTTCATTGTTTCTTAAAGGAAAAATCAGAATCGTGTTATTCAGCTTGCATACAGCCACAACATCTCTAGGGTCTTTCAATTAACATCTAGGTTTCTGCCTTTCTTCTTTTTCTTTTTTTTATGCTATTTATCCTGCTACAACTGAGGAATTCCAAAAGAGAGAGAAAGCAATATAATTTCCTTCGGACACGTACCATTGCTGTTTATCTAATCCGGTAATTTTATCGAATCTGTCGAATTATATCCCATTATTACATAAACAAGATCAAGTGGAATATCAAAGAATTTTATTAAATTTATTTTTTTTTAGTTAAAAAAATTATATTTTATTTATTTCACGTTTTGAAAAATTGTACTCTTGAGATCCATCGTAAAATCGTAATTGATTGAAACGTGTGTGCTTCTCTACAAAGTGCAAAGTTTTCTGGAGTGTTTTCAAAAGCGAAATTGATTGAAATGTTGAAAAATAAATATTGTTATTTTACATCGACTGTTTACTTGACCAGGAACAGGTCCTTTTAGAGAAGGGTACACACAATGACGAGTGCATTCCATTTGTCTATATACGTCACTAGTTTAAAGCTTTTCAGTAATACTTGTTAAGTTCCCTACGTGAAGACTTAATGGATCAATTAGTTGAGGTTTGGCACTCATTTCTATCTCCCTCTTCATAGCTACTGTCACACGTGCAAACTCGTCGAGCGTTGGGGGGCACGCCATATTGCTTCATTGTGGCAGCCTCCTCTCGGAGACACCCCTAACGTTCTATACCCGGGAGGTTTATATTCTTCACACCCTCGACATTGTCCGATTTTCTGCAGTTGGTCTCTCCCAATTGGGGAAAACTAACAAAAGAATCGTCAAGGTGGCCTCCACAGACAGTCTTGACAACTTTATTTTTCTTTTATCCCCACTACTCACCTTACACAATTGAACTTTCTGTTCAACTTTAATCAGGACTGAAGTGTTTTGGGACACGTTGAAAATTTATATTTATTTTTAAACCTTCCACACTTGAGATCCTTTCTTTAAATTAAAGAAGATTGTTTAAAGAAAACGAAGATTGAAGTACATTTTTTTCAAAAATATGTATTTATATATATGTGTGTGTGTGTGTATGTATTCGAAACTATTTATTTGCTTATTTTGTAGCATTATACTCTGCTCCACTGACCTCTCTTCCTTTATTCCTTTCAGACACTCAAGAACTTTGTCCTATGTTATCGTCGAGATGATTGGCTGATGTTGTTGTGACGTCAGCGGGGTGAGGCCGCTTTGCGCATGATTAGAAAAGTGAGTAGTAGTGAAGTTGTCAGCTGTGCCAGTCCAGTAAAGAGAAGTGACTATTGGAGCGAATACACAATAAGTGTTTAGCACAGTAAATGTGATTGATCTTTAAAAGCATCACACCCTACTCGTGGCTAGCATGCACGCTGCATGCAGCGAACTCATGACGTCAGTGAAGTGTACACCAAGACAATATCGGACTGATTAGGAAAAAGCCGCAACATGTCGAAATTCGTTCTTATTTATTGCTCTCTTCTAATAGTTCTAGTGAAGTCGCAAGATGCATCATCAAACAAAGAAAGGTGTGAAGAGATATCGATACCTATGTGCCGCGGAATTGGGTATAACTACACATCCATGCCCAATCAATTTCATCACGACACGCAAGAAGAAGCGGGATTGGAAGTACACCAGTTTTGGCCTTTGGTGGAAATTCAATGTTCCGATGACTTAAAATTCTTTTTATGTTCTATGTATGCACCCATCTGTATGGAAGATTATCCCGGGAGATTGCCCGCTTGTCGTTCTGTATGCGAGCGAGCACGATCCGGATGCGCACCCATTATGAGACAATACGGATTCGCTTGGCCGGAGAGAATGAATTGCGACGATTTACCGAAATATGGCGACCAGGAACGATTATGTATGGACGCGAAAGAAGGAGCACCTCCCGAACAACCCCCGTCGATAGTCCAACATCCGAGAGCCAAGGACGGACGCGAGAGAAGACCGTCTTACAGAGGTCGACCTCCATACCGTAACAGAGATAGGCACGATCTTTTACCTGGTAAACGTCCTGCTCGAATTCCAGTACAAGGAATTGCAGATTCCGAATGTTCTTGTGACTGTAGATACCCGATGGTGGCCATAGTCGAAATGGACGATCGCAGATTCTTCAACAAGGTGATCACCGGCGGTGTGATTAATTGTGCCACCCCGTGTTTCAGCCCTTACTTTAACAAAGACGAACAGACATTCGCAACTTTCTGGATCGGACTGTGGGCAATTTTATGTTGTATCTCGGCGAGTTTGACGGTACTCACCTTCCTGATCGACATGCAAAGATTCCGTTATCCCGAACGTCCCATCATATTTTTATCAGGATGTTACTTGATGGTGTCGATCGGTTACTTAGTTAGAATCGGTTTGGGGCACGAAGCTGTTGCGTGCGACGGACCTATCATCAGATATCACACCACGGGCAGACCGGCCGCTTGCACTATTGTGTTTCTACTAATCTACTTTTTCGGTATGGCTAGTTCCCTGTGGTGGGTCATTCTTACACTTACCTGGCTTCTAGCCGCCGGTCTGAAGTGGGGCAACGAAGCCATAGCCGGATATTCCCAATACTTCCATTTAGCAGCGTGGTTGGTACCTACCGTCAAATCAATTGCCATTTTGGCAATGGGTGCCGTGGATGGAGATTCCGTAGCAGGGATATGCACGGTAGGAAATCAGAACTTGGATCATCTACGAGGCTTTGTGATCGCTCCTTTGTGTGTCTATTTATTATTGGGTACTTCGTTTCTTCTGGCTGGATTTGTAGCCCTCTTTCGAATAAGGAAAGTTATACGACAACAAGCAAGAGCAAAAGTCGATAAATTGGAAAAGCTGATGATTCGTATCGGAATATTTTCTCTGCTTTATACAGTGCCTGCAACTATTGTAATCGGTTGTTACGTCTACGAGCAATATTATCAAGAAATGTGGGATCGAAGACACAATTGCCCCTGCACAGGTCCAAAGCAACGTCCCGATTATTCTGTCTTCATGCTCAAATATTTCATGTGTTTAGTCGTGGGCATCACTTCCGGATGTTGGATTACTTCTATCAAAACTCTAGACACATGGAGACGTTTTTACAGTCGATTGTGCTTTCGATCTCACGGAAGAGCTAACGTAAACGGCCCAGGACTAGCCGAACAGCAACTGTCACATCCCAGGACGTTCAAACCACTCAGTCCATCTAGTCACGTGGGACACGTTTCCACTCACAGTAAACACCTTCCATTGAGTCACGTCTAGGCTCCGTTCGAATTCACTAATTGTAAATACATTTCTCATATCACTGTACATATCAGTTGTTGAAGAAGGAAGAAACAAGTAAAACAAAATTACAAAAAATCCATTTAGTTGAACGAATATCTCAGGATGCTATTTAAAAAAAATTAAAGAAAACATAAAAAAAACCATTCTTTTAATCGAGTGGGATTTTTTATTATTATTATTATAATTATTATTATATCCCAACCATTATCCTGGTTTTCCTATTGGTGACGTCGCAACGTTAGGTTGTATGGTAAAAATTAGTGAGATTTGAAGTATACGTGTACTCGTCAGTTTAAAAACTAGTCCATATTTGGCACAACCTCTACGTCTCGAAACTGTGATGACTTATTAGAACACTATCCTTTTCTTCTCTTTCTCTTTCTCTCCATTAGTGTCTACTGAAAAGAGCCACAGATATTTAACATAAAAAAAAGGGACCAAAACTGTTTGAAATAATGAAAAATAAATAAAAATAAAATAAAGTGACAATCTTCGGACACTAATGTATATATGGACGAGATGGATAGTAAAGCGTTACATATAATGTTTTAGGGTAGAAAAGTCAAAGTGTTAGTCCTATTTCTAGACATCCGACATAGTTGGCGACGTGCCAAAGACCATGATGTCAATGTTTTTTCAAATACTTCACCCTCCTTTTGGCTTTCATCCCCCCTCCCAAAAGATTTTTTCTTAAACTCCTCTCGCCTTTCTATGACTCTATACAGTATTTCCTACTTTTCTAAAATGATTAGTGTTTGTAACTATGTGTGCTATTTAAGCTTAAAAACAGGGTAAAGAAAAAGAAATTCTTTTTTCGACTATTGTATTTGTACACAGTAAAATAATAATAATAATAACAACAAAAAAAAGAAAAAAAAACCAAAAATACATTTTTGCTGTATGGTTATATATTGTATATAGATTCTGTATTACGCCTGCTTCGGTGGATTATATAAGAATTTAGAAGAACGAGCAGGGTTTTTTAAACAACAACAACAACAAAAAAAAGCGCTAACAGGGTATATATTGTATTCACTTTGTTCTCTGAGTTGTTGTGTTGTGAGAATGTGGTTAAAATGTTTGTTTATAAAGATTTTTGTGAACTGAATAAGTTGTTTGTCTCTCTTACTCTACACACAAAAACACATTCCAAACAATATAAACAATGAAATATTAAATAAATTACGATTTTTTAAAATGTTAATTACGGTTTAAATTAATTAAATTTCAACAAAACTCTTCTTTATAAGCGCGACTTTTACGTAAAAGAGTTTTAAGGCGATTTTCCCGTATTAAAAGGTAGTTTTTTTTAATACTTTCAATCGAATTTTTACAGCGTATTTTTATTTATACATTAAAGAGAATTTAAATGAACATTATCTTAAAGAGTTTATTTTCGAATTGGAATAATTTAACAATCTAAAATGATATATAAATACCTATAAAAGACTGAATAAATAAACGGAGAAAAAGACTTTTCGGATTAGATACGCTCTTTAACCATAAACATTTAGAAAAAGGAATTTTTGGCAAATATCCACGTATCTCTCTCTGATCTGAAGTAGACAAGTAAGAAAAGAAAATATAAGAAAAAAAAAGTGTTGTGAACAACCAATATGCTAGACTTTTGACAGCTGTTTCTTGTTAGAATGGTGGAAGAAGTTTTGACAAAGCAAGATACGATTAACAGCATGTTAAAGCACACACGACTCTAATTTGCCATACAATTCTTACGTCACCCTTTTTACCATCATTTGTCAAAAGATAAAAGGAAGATATACAACATGTTTGGATAGATAAATAACTAAAATATATTTTACTTGAACATCAATTAATCATGGTATATATTTTACGGTTGAGTAAAAGGCTACTTGAAGTCCATTTCAAGGATCATAAAATTCTATAATTAATAAATTTCCTCCGTGCTTTTATTGAAGATGTTGCTTATGCAATGGGATTTATCGGTATTATCACTGCGGGTTATATAAGCAACTAGATTGACGGAAAAGATCGTAAAGTGTCTTTTATTACCGATAAAGTTACCAAACTGTAAAAGAGGTATTTTAAAAAGGGATATAGGCTATTTTTCGCAGTTTTTTTTTTCTTGAAAAATCTGGAAAATTTTTTCGTCTCTAAGCCCTAACCTTCGTACAATTACTGTATATAAATATATATAAAGTATAATCAATCTAGAGCTTTGGTTTGTGTTACGAGAGTCCAAAGTTTCTTTTTTTAGGGTCGACGTCGGCGGTTGGATAAGGAGAATATTTTGATTGAAGTCGAAAATAGTGGTTACCAATCATGTCAGCGATTGGAATAAGGTAAACATCTCGAGATATCTGTAACATGGTCACGCTTAAACCTGGCAGGGTGGCCCCCTGACCACTGTGGGTGGCATATCATGACAAAATTCTACAACAACAGCTATCTTTTCTTTCGTTCCTCCTCCTCCTTCTTCTTTTTTTAATCTCTATAAGTCAGCCTCCTGGTGATTTCTGAAGAGAAAGTAATGAAGAAGATATTTCGTGACTTGTCTGCCTGATCGTCCTATTTTATCAAGTAGAGAAGAAAAAAAAAGTCGAAAAATGCGACTTAAATAATTAAATTTGGCTTCTTAAGTAAGAATTTCCAATGTCTTTATACGTAAAAAGTAAGAAAATTGTATAATTTAATATAATAAAAGCAATATCGATAATAATTCATAGGAAATCCATACTGTCTCAATGAGTCTTTATTGATAATCATAGGACAACAAATGAACTTATGTGATCATCCGTTTTCCTATTTCAATCAACTGTCTTATACAGGAAGAAGGAAAAAGATTGATTATTTTAATGTAATAAATCACACAAAGTATAATTTGCATGAAGAAATATAATGTCAGAAAACATGGCTATTTGCTTTTGACACAAATTCATAAATGATTTGATTAGTGGAAGAGAAGCAATTTATCTCGAAAAAATATTTTTACTTTATAGGGAAAAAAAAATGGTACATACTTTAGATATTTTAAATTAAATACTTTAGAGATTCTTCTGTTTAGAAGAAAAAAAATTAACTCAGATCTGGTTACACTGTTAAGCTAACTATCCCAGAGGAGATGCCAAAACAAGAATCGAGGTGCTTCAACCTTTCAGCACATGGCTAAAGTTTTCTTCATCTTTTTTATTTTATTTAATTGATAAACATGGTTTAATATACAAAAAATATAAAGAAAAGTAAACATACTTTATAAAAACTAAATTTAAAATATTCATAAATTATTTAAAAATCCTAAGAGGAAGTTGTGCATTGAAGTATACTTTAAGGAAATAAAATTATAGGAAAGATAAGTTAATATATAATTTAAATATCCATTTGCATTTTAAAAAATATTCATAAATAATTTCTATTTATTCTACATGTTAAACATTTTTCTTCAAAGAAATGCTATTTATGAATATTCTTTACACAGAAAACATTCCATTAGTAACCATTTATTATTAAACTTAAAGTATATAATTTTGAATAAGGAAGAAGAAGAAGAAGTGGGAGAGGAATAAAGATGCAAAAACCTCAAGAAATTGGATAAATTCCAAAGAGAATATTGAACCGAATCAGCATAAAATTGAATATATATATATTTATTTATTTATTTTTTAAAAAATATACTGTTTATTTTACAATATATTCCCCCTAAAAACTTCAAAAAAAAATAAATTTAAATATTAATTATTATATTAAAATAGACAAAGACTAAAACATTTTAGTGGAAGTTTTGACAAGACACATGTTTACCTTACTCTCACCCCATCATGCAGGCCTTCCATCTGGGTTCTGGTATCTCTCAACATACACAATTAGTAACTACATATACTTTTTTCTTCTGTCTCCTCTCTTCTTCCTCTTTGGGACTGTTTAGTTTTAATGCATAAATTCAGAAAATTTTATATATAAGTATATANGATTTAATTACAATAAAAAAATATATAAATACATTCACCATCTATAATAAATATTCGAGATGGCCTTCCATCTGGGTTCTGGTATCTCTCAACATACACAATTAGTAACTACATATACTTTTTTCTTCTGTCTCCTCTCTTCTTCCTCTTTGGGACTGTTTAGTTTTAATGCATAAATTCAGAAAATTTTATATATAAGTATATATAATTAAACAAGCAATTTGAATTGAACTTTATTCCAATAAACAATAGTCGAAAGCTGTGATTGCAAGTAAAATCCTGCTTAACTGAATTTAATCTTTAAGTTACGACGAAGCTTTTGGAAAGAAAATAAAGAGAAGTTTCGTTTATTTACTCGAAGAGTTTCTTAATTCTTTAAGCTGTTTTGTGTTTTAGTAATTCGCGTTAATCTTCTTCTCAATGGAAAAATCTTATCATTCGTTTCAGTAAAAAGAAAAAAATAAAGAAAAATCGATCAGTAAAGAACGGATAATCTCTTTTTAATAGTCTCTTATCAAAATTTTCTTTTATAAATATATTCAAATATATAATTAACTTATCAATTATTATCATCATTAAAATTAACAATTAATTTCAATTAAGAATATAATTAATTAATAATTATACATATATAAACTACACTAATAATAATAATAAAAAAAGGATGCGGAGAAAGAAGATGCTTCTCTATCATCGAAATTGATTGATTGATTTATTTATTTTTTAAATGTCAGAATTAATTTAAATAATAAATTAACTTAAAACAATAAAATTCGAATAAAAGCTTTTAAAATTAATTAATTAATTAATTAATTAATCATTTATATTAATTAGGAAAAGTTTAATTAATTAAAACCAATGTCTGCTCCGTTTAAATGTTACTAAAAATAAATTCCGTTTTAATCCATTGAAATTATTAATTAAATTTTTGAATTTTTATTTTTATATTTAAAAGGGGAGAAACGTATTATGTATATATGAAATTACTAACGTGATAAAATAAATTAATTTTTTTTTTCCGAAAATTACTAGCAATTTATTTAGTTGAAGAAATATATTTTAATTTTGTTTTTCATCCCCTTCTATCTATTATTCTTTTATTAAGTTAAAAATAAAGTTTTATTTAATTTATATATATNCTTATAATTTTAATATTTCTTCGTAATTTATTATGAAGATTTAACTGTCTTTTACTGTAGAGACTCTTGAAGTCTTTTGATAAACATCTTTATGAAATGTTTATTTTATGAGCTACAGTTAATAATAATAATAAAAAAAAAGAAGGTAAAGATGAGAGGAGATGGCTTAATTATTTCTCCAAATTTTTTATATTTTTCTTAATGATACTTTAGATATGATACATAAATATCCCTGAATTTTCCTTATAAAGATATTAACTCGTTCAGTTAAACTATCTTCTCATAACTCCACAATATTTATTATAGACTTTTTCATTACTTTAATACTTTTTACTCAATTATTACGACGTCTAACAACGTTATCTACTTAAAAAAAGAAACACGTTAAAATATTAAAGAAAGAGAGAAATTCTCGATTACTTTAATTGGAAAACAACTGCACAACTTCTTACTAACATATACTATATATATATAGATAAATAGAAATAATTGGTAAGTATATTGTAGCTATTGTAAACTTAGGAGCATCTAAAAATGGAAAAAATTGAGCAGATGACAGCTGCTTATGAGTAAAAAAAAAACGAGTTTAAAAATTGAAGTAAACGATAAAAGAAAATTATACATAAACTAAATGCACATGAAAAATAAGGATAATTGATTGATGATGCTCTTCCTGTAAGATAAATGCAAGCTAAAAACAGGAGTAATTGATAGAGAGCTTATAATTAAATAAATATAAGAAAAAAATTGATAGATAATTCTTACAAAAAGTTTAAATTAACATTAAAAAAACTGCAATTTATATAATCTAAAATTAAAACAAAAAATAATAATAATAAGTAATTGTTTATACTTTAAATGAACTTATTGAAGATGGAATAAAGTAAATACAGTTTTAAAAATAAATTAAAAAATAAAAATAATGTGATTAACTGTTTTCTTTTTAAACAAAACTAAAATAAATCCAGTGCAAGAATGCTGAAATCAAAATAAATACATTTCAGAAAATGAAACTGATTCGACCAATT